TCTACCACATGCACTGATTCATGATATGGACTATAGCATCCAGCATGCAGGTCATGAGGTGTTTTTGATTACTTGGATAAGTTATGAGTGAATGCACTCTTCTGATTTTGTGTAGGCTTCCTAGTTTGTGAGCACTCTGACACGAGAGGAATGTGTTGTTTATTGGGTTTGATATATATATATTCAAGTGAACTCTTGTGGGCTGCTGATACTTGCCAATTTTGATTGCCATTCTAATACCTTCCACTGCCATCACAAAGAAGGCCACGTGCAGGTGTTGGGCTATCGTGTGATTGCAGGGTAACAATGGTTACGAGTGGAAGCAACTGAAGTGAGGTGATGAGGTTCACTAGGTCTCTTTGCTCCCTTTCCAGGAACTCGCCTGACTTTCGCCCCGGAGAGAGTGGCCCTGGTGTTTGATGAAGTCATGAAGCTCCATCAACCTGTCTCGGGGTAGATTCCTCTTCTCGTTCCCAGAATTTGCATGATTTATGGTCATATGTTTGTGCAAAATCTCTTGTGGAAAATGTGCAGGAATCACCCAGAGAATCCAAACCGTATTCAGAGAATTTATGACAAGCTGAAGGAAGATGGACTGGTCGGCAAGTGCCGCCGTCTCAAAGTGAGTTTGCTTCTGTTACCACTAAATGGGGGGAGCTTTGAAAGCCATGTTCTCATATTAGTTTGGTCTAGGTTTTAGCTTGACCTTGAGAAAAACCAGGAAGTCAGGGATTAAAAGAAAGCTGTTTTTTTTTACTGAATTGCTAAGGGTAACAATTATATATATTTTGACTAATTATCTACAACCATGTGCAGAGATTCAGTTGAGGAAGTAAAGTTTTGACATAAACCTGGTCAAAGCCATTTGAGAAGTACTGCTGTTCATGTGAACACTAGGGAATGCATCTTCAGGAGAACTAGCAAAACATATTTGCAGAGTCGGAAGGGGAAGCAGGAGGAAGTTGCCCTGTTGCATGAGAGGTCCCTGCTGGACCTGATGGCCTCGCTCAGCGACCAGACCAAGGACGATCTGGACAACATGTCCTCCTCCTACAACTCCATCTACTTCTGCCCTCAGACGAACGAGTCCGCCCTTCATGCGGTCGGATCGCTCCTTCAGGTGGGACGATCCGCATACGACCGGA